AAAAAAAAAAAAAGAAAAAATAAGATAACTGGTTAAAACATTAAAATTTTAACACTACAGCTTATAAAAATTTTTGGACATTTGCATCTTAGTCATTGTTGCGTTTTTTTTTCCTCTTTGCAAATAATATTTATTTATTGTCTATCTTTGACAGAACGTGCTTGACAAGATCAGAAGTTTTGATATTTGCTTTTTTTTATATTCTGAAGTCTATTGAGAAAATTATCATCAGAAACTTACATATAAAACTTGTGACTTAAAAAACCTTTGATAGCTCGCTTCAAAATACATTTATCAAGAATTTTTCAGTCAAAAAGTTATAGTGCATAAAGTCTATTGAAAGTGTTTTTTTTGACTGCCTGGCAAAAAATAGAAGACTACTTATCAAAAGTCTGGCAGAATACGGCTTCTTTGTGCTTAGCACTTCAATACACCCGAATAAAATCATTTTGTACTTTTTTCAGTTGACAGTGCTACCAAAAATTTTCGAAAAAATTTATCGGTTTATCGTTTTGTCATCATTATGCGTAGTCTTATATTTAACACTACCTGAAATTCGTCTTTTGCGTCTATATTAGCTCCATTCTGCAAAAGAATCTTAACACAATCTAAATGTCCGTAACAGCAGGCATAAAATAATGGAGTCCTCTAAAATTAATTCTTTTTTTTTACAATAAAAAATTGAAAGTATAAGTGAAAAATTAAATCAACTTATATAGCAAAATATTTTATAATTTTACACATTTTTATAAGTGTTCTGTGTTAGCGATATTTTTTAATTTAAATAGTACTTATTTCAAGAAAATGCATAAATTTCTTCGCTATGTAAATCAAGGTTTTGGCGAAATACTCAGTGATAATTTTCTGTTTGAACAAATTCTCAGATTAGAATGAATAAAAGAGATAATTTTTAGAGAAAAAATTAAAAATTTTTTTGCCCACTTTTTTTTGTTCTTATCTTAGAAAGCAAAAAAATGATACCTCTTTGCAATTTTTATCGTTAATATTGGCTCCAAGCTGTAGCAAATGTTCAATAATCTTATGGTGTCCTTCACGGCAAGCGTGATGCAACGAAGTTGCCTGCAATCATACAAATTGCAGTGTTTACTAACATTGCAGCTCATTGACTTTTAGATAGTTTGATAAATTACTCATTCTTTTTGTTTTTTCAACAGATTTAATTGTATAGGCAAAAAATTTGTAAACTTAAAACTGTGGGTGGCAGTAAACAGCCAATTACTCGAAAATTTGAAACTGCTAAAAAGTTTTTTTTATAACATTGTTATTGCAATAAGACTGATAGAAAAATGACCTTATTAGAGTCGCTGCTGCAGACATCAGCTCCTTTTTTAATTAGAAGCTTAACAATTTTGAGAAAACCTCCGGAACACGCACAGATCAACGGCGTTTGCTTAATCAGAAGTAAATCAAAAAGTAGTGTTTGTCAGAACTGTAGTAATTAAAGTTCTGTTAACTTTAACAAAGTATATAAAGTATTTATTTGATCTATATTCATTTAGACGGCTTGAACAGACAAAAAGCTAATTTATTGTATTTTTCAAAGGAGGAAGGCAAAGTAAGTGTACCCCGGAGTTATCTTGAGCATCGATATCTACTGCATTTTTCAGCATGATCTCGACAGCTGGCAAATGTCCATGACTAGCTGCACAGTGAAGTGGTGTTCGCTAAACGGA